CAACACTGGTGGTGGAACATTTATTTGAAATGTTGCATAGGCATGCAGCCTTGATGTTGTGCCTCTGACACACTCTGCATAAAAAGAATACACTGACTGTCTCCATGCTTTAAAGTGTGTATCAGCTGTTTGATACAGGATTGATAAAAAGATTATGAAGTCCACTGTTAGAACTGCCATTGTCATCGCGTGTACTGTGCAGTAATTTAAATACAGCAGCACCCACAAACACATTTACTGCTCTGAGTGATTTATCCAGAGAGCATGATTTAAATACAAATGAAAGTTTAGAGCGTATCACACATTTTATATGAATATGACCATATTTTAAATGTTATGTACTGCATGTAGTGTGGTAACTTTCCATTTGTATTTATTTAAAAAAGAGAGAGAGAGTTAAAACAGAATGTTGAAATATTTGTTCTTTATATGGACACATATACATAAATGTTTACAGCATGTAACAATTTAAATAATCCAAAAAAATAACTTTGTTGATTATTTGGATGAGATAAAGAAATTGTTGTGCTCATTCCAATTTTATTGCATGCTTGTGCTTACAATGACAATAATGCTTATCTCATCTCATCTTATGTTTAAGACTTAATGGCTTCTGCTTCTATTCGCTACTCTTTCTCTTGACGGATATATGATTTTGTCTTCATGTTAACAATAGAATTAACAGTCATAGTCTAACATGTTCCTTCTTGGATTCCTGACTAATAATCATAATATCTTGCTCTTAATATAGTCACGGCACCTACTAATGTCTGGACATGACATCGTTACAGTTAATGTTGTCATCAGTCTCAGCAGCCTTACACATTTTAATGCTTTTAGTGTGAATCTAAATGTTTCAGGGTCACTTGTTGAATGGTTGGACCAACGGTCGAACCAATGCCCAGAATATTGACCTGAACCGGAACTTTCCGGACCTTACGTCTGCCTTGTACCGGAATCGACGCAGCAGGCACTACCGTACTGACCACATCCCGATTCCCGACGCATACTGGTTTGGGAAGGTAAGAAGGCAGTACCAGAAAGTTGACTCTGTTCCTCTGGACGTAGAGATTTTTCAGTGGCAGAAACGTTTCGTCAGTCATCCAAGTGACTTCTTCAGTCCTAGCTGACTGTAGGTTTCCCCAAACTTATTAACAGAACATTTGCATAATGACTGAAAGTAGCAGTTTTAGTTTCTCCCACTGAAAACGCTACATCCAGATGACCAGAAGCAACTTTTTGGGATTTCTGTACATGGATGATTGAGCATGCATCAAGACTTAAGAAGGTAGTACTAATTTACTAACAATTACCAGAAATAATCTCCAGCAGTTATTTCATATTGGCTTCCAAAAATGATTCAATCTTTTCTTTTTACTGTAGGTGGCACCAGAGACTTACGCAGTGATGAAGTGGGTCAGGTCTCTGCCTTTCGTTCAGTCTGCCAGCCTCCACGGAGGGGATCTGGTGATCTCCTATCCATTTGACTACTCTAGACATCCTCTTGAGGAGCGGATGTTCTCCCCCACTCCAGATGAACAGGTAGGGGAGCGGAATTTTATAGATAGCAGATTTCTAACAACAATCAATGTCTACCTTGGCCAATAATCTGCCAATGCTCAGGTCTTCAAGCAGCTGGCTCGCACATATGCCGATGCTCATGCCACTATGTCAAACAATGACACAGAGAGGTGTGGTGCCTCCTTTTATCGAACTCGGGGGATTATCAATGGGGCACTGTGGTACAGTTTTGCTGGTGGTGAGATACTTTTAACTCCACTCCTTAATTCTCACAGCAAAAGACATAAATCAAACTTCTTTACGTAAATATTTTTTTCCCCAAGTTTCCCACAATGTGTGCACCTCTCCTACTTTTTGCAGGTATGTCAGACTTTAATTATTTACACACTAACTGTCTTGAGATAACCGTGGAGCTTGGATGCGACAAATTCCCCTCAGAGGCTGAGCTGTACCCAGAATGGAAGAGGAATAAAGAAGCTCTCCTCAGTTTTCTTGAATCTGTAAGTGTCACTTTTTTTTCTTAACTTCTTCTTAACCTTTATTTAACCAGGAAAATCCCATTGAGATTAAAAACCTCTTTTTCAAGGGAGACCTGGCCGAGATAGGCAGCAGCAGGTGTCTCACAGTTACAGAAATTACTCAAACACAGGCAGCAACAACACACATGCAACAATAAGTGAAAGAATACAAATAAAATAAAATAAAATTCAATAAAATTCAATTAAAAATAAATAAATAAATTTAAAAATCAGTTAAAATGACAATCAATCTAATTGAAACAGTTGCATGTTATGGACTTGGCCTCAAGGATTCGTAGTTTAGATTTAAAAACACTTAATGAAATAAATTCAGTCATTTTCCATTCCTTCTGCAGTTTGTTCCAAGCCGAGGGTGCTAAATGGACAAAAGCTCTTTTACCAAGTTCAGATCGGGCAAATGGAACAGAAAGCAACAAGTAACCATGCGGACGAAGAGAATACCGACCAGCACGTTTCATTACAAGCAGGGAACATAGATAAGAAGGCAGCAACCCAAGTATTGCCTTATATATAAAACTGTATAAATGAGAGTTCCTCCGACTTACCAAAGCAGGCCATCCTACCTGAGAGTATAACTCACAGTGGTGAGTCTGAAATTTACGGTTAGTGATGAACCTCAGAGAAGCATGATACACAGAATCAACCATTCGAAGACATTGAGCAGAAGCATTCATATATAGAATATCACCATAATCCAGCACAGGCAAGAACGTTGCAGCAACAAGCCGCTTCTTTGTATTAAAAGAGAAACACAACTTATTTTGAAAATAAAATCTCAGTTTTAACTTCAGGTTTTTCACAAGATTCTCTACATGTGGTTTGAAGGTAAGTGAGTCATCAAATATAAAGATATTTCTCTTTATTCACTAACTGTGAATAAAGAGAAATATCTGTTCAAATAATAATATTTCAAAGGTTTTTTTTTAATATTTCAAAGTTAAACAAGATATAGTAGCGTGTTCATAATCTATATGTCATATATATATATATATATATACTATACTATACTATACTATACTATACTATACTATAAATCTATACTATAAATCATCGATGGTAAGTGAATTGCTAAATTATAATGTTGAACGCATGGATAATTACTCTGTTCAGGAAAAAAACTAAACCAACTAACGCTTGACAAATCTTTCCATTGTGTTCCTTTTCTCGAAACAGGTCCACAGAGGAATAAAGGGAATAGTTAAGGATGGTAATGGTAATGGAATAAAAGATGCAACAATCTCCATCAGGGGTGTTAGAAAAGATGTCACCACAGGTATACATAACTATGTCAATATTTGATGTGTTGGAGTCTTACTTTTTATCCATTTGTAAATGTGTAAATTAACCTTAGACAATACACATTTTACTGATTTTCTTCTTTTAACTTTCTTCACGTTCCCTCCCACCGTTCTGCATCTACTTATTGCCTTTCTTCCAGCTGAAGATGGAGACTATTGGAGGCTGCTTAACCCTGGAACTCACATCGTGACAGCCACAGCCAAAGGATACTCCAAGGTCAGCAAGAGAGTTTATTTGCCTCACACCATGAGCAAGGCTGGACGTGTTGACTTTGTCCTGCAGAAGGTTTGTCTTCAAAGTCCCGCTGTACCCTCTGTACCACCTTCTTTTAAATATTACCTCCTTCCTCACCTCTGCTCTAATATTTTCACTCATGTCCCGCATCCAGGTTCCCGTGGAGCCCGATATTGATGACCACCTCTTCCCCACATCAGACACATGGGATCGATTTGACCCCTACAACCAGTTTGAGCAATACAGGGATCCAGATGTGGGTGATAGTGGGAGAGAGAGGGAGGAAAAACCATGGTGGTGGAACTACTTCTCCCAGTCTGGTATCTCACCTCCAACCTGGCTGCTGAGAAATGTGTAGACACATTTGGGACAATAAAGATCCTGATTACCACATCCACCACAAAAGGAGACTGGTGAAGGACCATTTTACATCCAGTCCCACTGGTGTTCTCAGAGGCGTTTATGTAGCAGGAGCTGTGACACTAACCACCAGTAACCGAACACATTGCAGTACTTCCTGTAAGGAAGTGAATTAGCATTTTTTCCAAGGGGCAACACATTTAATTTTGGGCTGTGAGTGAGATTTGGCAGCATTACTTTGAAGCAGCATTTACTGAATAATGAATGAAATATGGATGCCACAATCATCCCCTAAAACCTCATCACAATAAAGAACACAATAGAAGATATGGGACTTGATATTTTGCTTACAGCTTTACAACACTGCATCTGCACACATTTGTGTACATTAAAAAATGAGTTGGGATTTGTTATGTTTATTTTTTGTGGGCATGTACAAGTAAATGTCTTGTAACATTTATCCATATTTTATACAATACACAAAAAATGTAAGCACTCTGGATCAGTAACAGCATGTGACATAGAGCTTGGATTAGCAGCAACACTGTGCCATCTCAAAACTGTAGAAAACCTTGCTTTTCCCCCCACAAGCATAACAAATAAACAGTGAATACTTCTGGCACTCATTTGTTTCAATTATATTTCAACTTCGGGGAGTGGTTTTCGTATTATGTCACTAGAGGGCGCAAGAGAACATATAATGGTATTTTCGTCGACTTCAACAATGAATTCTCTAATTAGCGTAAAGTCCATTTGTATTCTTCATTAAAGAGTTTATACATTTCTTTAGTAATTTGTTAAATGTTAGAAAAACATTTCACAGTTCAATTAAATTTCCACATTTGAGTTGAGTTAAAGGTCCATGCGAATCTCAGGAATACCCAGAAGAGAGGATAAGCTGTCACAGTGAAGTTGTTTTTATTCTTATGTTTTTAAGCTATCCAGCGGAAGAACATGTAGTGCTGGTGTGCAAGTGCGTCCTGTATCCTTGCGCCTTATCCAAGTGCTCTGTTGGGATTTTTAGCATTGCACGACAGTTGTTTTGCTAACAAACTCCGTAGTCATATATGTAGTACCACAGTTAATGCTGCCAGCTGCTCCGTACATTATTACTCTTTGCGTTTCTGAAAGGAGAATGTGAAATGACAGTTGGCAAGTTATTGACTTGTATCTGCGAGAAAAGCCCAGCGCAACAATGCTATTTTTCAGTTTGACACGTGACTTTCCTTCAGGCGCAAACTTTAAGGTGATATAGGCTATGTTCACACAGAGGTAAGTTGCGCAATTGCTAACAATTTGTAGGCATATTTAATTTAAAACAGATTTAATTCTCCCCTTTCCAGGTTAATGGCTTTTCACCTCTGGGTAGTTTGGTTGAAGTATTGTGGGTTTTGTGGGAAGAGTTGTTTAAGCGTGCACTTCCCCTCCATTGCTCTTCTGTTCGGGCCTATAGCCTATAAAGTAGAAATAGTAAGTACTAGTGATACTAATACAGTGAAGCAACCTGAGTTTGGCTGTGTAGATTTTAGAAACACTCTTCTTCTGAGTCCTCACTGAACCGTGCTGCTGATATTAAAGCAAGAACACGGTTATACTAGATGTAGGTTTTCTTTTTGAAAAGGCCATTTTTGCATCATGCTATAATTATCTTTTTTTTTTCTTTTTCCAAGGCGGTGTGTTCCCAGATGCCTCCTCCTTATGTTCCTGGAGTGAGTTTCCATCTGGCAGTCTTCCACTAAGGTCTCTGGCCCTCTCTCTTTCTCTGGCTTTCCCAGTGCACCATGTAGTCACTTTCAATCTGACTGCATCAGTTTCTCCAACATAACACTTTTTAACACTCTGCATATATAATGCAAATGCCAAACCACTTTGCGCTGAGCTTCCTCTATCCTGCTCTCGTCCTCGCCTTCCTTTCCCTCTGCGTCAGTCAGTCTTTCATTCCTATAGCTATCTAGCTGCTATGCCCCAGGAGTAGAGGCCTGCTCAATGTGGCAGAGATGATTTGTTTGCTCTGCAATTATTTTCCGTCAGTGGAGACAAATGGATTCATACCGCATAGAAAAATGCACGCAGACAGGGCTGGAGTGACGAATATCATGGAACATACTAATATGTATAGCCCAAAGATAAAGAGGTGAGATGAGGAGTATAGGGATCCTTGGGTAAACTTTATAGACATATTGAGGGACCAAAAATATCTCACTTCCATAAGACTGTGCTGTGTGTTGAAATGCATAACTGTGAGCCGCAACAAGTAAATGCACTATAATGTTTTAAAGTGACAGGTTGCTGTCAAAATGCCAAAATGCAATGTGTATAAAAGTTTACCAGCAGTACTAATTTGGATTGAAGCTCTTTTTATTTAAATGTAGGCTTTTGTACCTACACGTAACTTTGTTAAAAAAATATTATTGCACTGCTCATATGCAATTAAAAATAATTTTTAATTAAAAGTAATGCCTCCTGGATGATCTTTTTAAACATGTTGAAAAAACCCCATAGAATTAAGTGATATTTCAAATGAATTTGATTCTAATTATTGTTTTTGATACAGACGAAGTTTGAACTTTATGAAGATTAATGTCTCTAGTGACCCAAGCTGAAACACAAGTAACCATGCTACACACACAAGACTCAGCCTGCAAGTCACCGGACACAAAAAGGCCCTGTAGCGCATTTCTTTACTTGCGTGGTTGAAAGAACTGGTTAGTGGTAAGCTTGGTGCGATACAGTTGGTAACAGACAAAATTGTTCAGGCTATTTTTAATAATGTGTTAAACAGTTGTAGAAACAAGGGAACATTACCAAATTTACCAAAAAAACCCAATCTAGGCTATAGGCAGATGGTAGTGCTGTCACATTTGACACTGAGACTGTTAAGGATCTTTTGTCTTTTCTCACAGGCTCTGCTCTATGTTGATGGTTTTTAAAAAAAAACAAAAAACCCAAAACATTTCTATCACAAGCGATTACATAATTTAAGTTTTAAAAAGATAAATATAATATTTTCAAACCAAAGTTTAAAACAAAGACTGTTCAAACTGTACTCTTAATCTTTTATCAATTTTGTTATTATGTTTTTTCTTCATTTTTGAGCTCTGTGAACATGTAAATATGAAAAAACGAGTACTTTAAAACAATAAGTTTTGAGGTACACCAGCATTCACATAGATAAGCAGTTAAGAAAATGTGTGTGTGTGTGGGGGGGATGTTTTAGTTCTTCTTAATAATTTTCCCAGTAGGCATCACTGGGAAAATTTGTCAGCAAAACTTTGTTGTAGCATCTCTACAATTCTCCCAAAGTAGAATATCAACAGTTAAGTAAACAGTGAAGTTTGAACATTCAGTGAAGAATCAAGCAGTCTGTGCTTGAAGTAGCTTTGTAAAGTCAGGTAGCCAGCAATTGTTTCCAGTTTGGTTAGTCTGAAAACACATGCCTGTTGTTCTGTATTGCTTAACAAGACTAAATAGCCAAAAAGGTTTAGCTCATACAGAACAATGATAACATAGCGATATATAAACAACAGAAAGAAGAGTTTTATTTTGCTGGCTTGGTGAAATACGCCAAAAATACGAATAAATGCCAATAAAATTGGTGACAGTCTTGCTTTAGCACTGTTAAAGCTCTAATAAACAAATGAGAAAACGTGATTTCTGTAACTATTCATTAGACAGTATGTAGTTATAGAACACACTGGAAATGTTTGGTCTCCTTTTATGCCCCCAATATAGGACACACACAACTGGGCTGCAGACTTTTGTGTGTCTGATGAACTTTCAAACTATCCACAGTAAAAGAGATTAACCTTTTCCTCCCAGCTCATGTCTTCTTGGGTTTTCTTTTCTTTTGCCTTCTGTCTTCCTTTCTTTCATATGACCTTGTCTCCCCTTTTCTAGTGTCTCCGTTGACTATCGCTTGTCCTGTCCCCCCCTCCTCTTCTTGTCTCTCCTTTACCCTCCTTTTCCTCCTTTTATATGAAGGGCAAGTTCAGGGGTCACCAATTACTCTGAGAGGGCTGAGAAAGTTGTATGGGCTTTGCCCTCGGGGCTGCCATGTTGCATTATCATCAGGGAGATTGCAGGTACGCAGCAGCCACTGGCTGCTGGCACAACCGCCAGAACGTCAGCCCTAGAACCAGGCCATATAGACTTAGCCAAGTTCAAGCTGTCCTTATGCCTGAATGGCTGGCTGGCTTCTAGTCGTTCCCCCTCACTTACTGATCTGCTGGGCAGAACTAATATGTATGTCTAGGACCCCTCTACCAAATTGTTTTGGCTAGCTGTGCTGATAGGCTTACTTTTGTGCTGCATTGTGGCTTGAAGAAAATCTTCTAGTATAGTTAGTTTTATATCAAGTATCTCCAGGGTTTCTAGTTTAACACTTTCACTTGTGCTGCAGAGTTATAACATCTGTCTGTCAGCAGTCAAGTACCACATTTGCTTAAAGGTTTTGAGAACAAAAATACATGTCCCGGTTTTACTATCCTTTCAGATTGACAGGAAACGGTTATTTGCTGCAATGCGGGACACATTACCTGTTACGAACTTGTCGCGGATGCATCAGAACACATCGTTCTGGTTCACCATCCATCATCGTGATTGTTTACGCTTGTATTTTGTGCTTTCTGCTCATGAGTGGATCAAGAGGACAGGTTTTTGTAGCTTAATGTCTCTACCAAATCAGTAATGATGAAGTATACTGTATCGTATGGAGCAGAGGTGGCAAAAGTACAGACATTCTGTACTTGAGTAGAAGCACAGATATTAGTGTTAAAGTCCAGATTTGACTTCTTTACTTAAGTAAAAGTCAAAAAGTACCGGCTCTGAAATGTACTCAAAGTAAGAAAGCAAAAGAAGCTCCTTGAAGAACATTTCTACCACTTATTTATATGCAAAGGCAACTGAACCTAGTCCTATATTAATGTAATACTAAAATATTATTTGTAGATAGAAATACAAACTTCATTTTAGCCTACATTTTTATTTAAGTAGAACATGAGCAGAGAAAAATAAGGAAAATAAAATAACAGCTCTCTTTTCTGTTGCCTACATTGTAGAGTGTGACTTTGCCCTTTAAACAGGAAAATGTGTAGGGAAGAGGTCAAAGTGAGAGTCAGCAGGTGGGGAACCCTAAAATTAGTTGTAATGTCTCAGTGTGGGTAAAAGAATCATAATGCACAATGATTTCTATTGAAAGCTTCAGGTTTTCTTAATGTACAGGCTGTGAACAGCTGATCGAAATCCATCACAGTGCAGCAAACTAACCTGTTTGTCCTGCACTCACCTGCAGAGTATTCTTCATGCAACCTTTAACACAGTTAGTCTACCTCAGATTGTTTTGCAGCACATTTCACAATATGAAAAATAATGAAATGTATGAAATATAGATGTCACATGTTATACAGACCTGGAAATTCTACTCAAGTACAGTAACAAAGTATTTGTACTTTGTTACTTCCCACTTCTGGTAGGGAGTGACTGATTAAAGTGACCTTCAGAGGTGCTGGGCATCTATTTACTACATTGTCCAAGTCATTTTCCAAAAGCCAAAAGTATTTTTAATTGACAAATAAAAGGCAAAGCAAAAGATAATAATAAATAAATAAATAAAGAAGAAGATTT